TTAATTTTTAATTAAATTTTATAAAATTTTATTAATTTTAATTATATTTTATATTTTTTAAAATAATAAAAAATGAAAAATCTTGCAGCCATGTTGTGGCAATAGGGTTTTTTTTTTGTTTTTGTGGTTCCTTACCATTCCAAACCTCAATCCATTGTTATCGATACAAGTTGTAACCCACTTCACAGGAGATTTTATGCAAATTATACCACAACTCAATCATATAAGGTCCTGCTTGATCCCTTCCTCAATTATCTACAAAGGCACAAATAAAACACACACACACACACACACACTAATGACCTAAATAAAATTGGCCCTACCCACCAATGAACCATGGTTTCACCCCTTCTCCTATCAAGAAAACAAAAAAAATAATAATAATAAAAATAAAAATAAAAAATTTATACAATTTCTAGGATATATGAGAAATACCAGATACATCACAACTCCTAATACATGTGAACTTTGAAGGTCAGAAAGCTGTTTAAGCATACATTCAGTCTACAAATAAGACTGTTATAAAGGTTGGCATATGAAAGGTGTGCGATGGTAAGCAAAAGAATTAGAGCACAAAAGAAAATTTCACATTGAAAAATAAAAGAAATAAAACAACAAATAATCAAAAAATAATGAAATTCGTAAGTTATGTGCTTTAGAAAGGCATAGAAAGGCCACAACTCAGCTGATCCAAAAAAGACAAAAAAAAAGAAAAAGGGCCACAACTTCCAAATAAATGTGGAAAAAAGGATGAGGTTTGGTTGTTCACACTGGCACAACTAACCTCATCCCTTGGATGAGTAGAACGCATGTGGAACCACCCTACGTTCCACTCATTCAAGCAAGGGATGACCTTGCTCATCCATCCAATCCAGATAGGAAAAAATTTATCAAAAGAATTTTTCTGATACATAAATGTTAGAAACCATGCATAAAGAAATAAAAGCAAAACACTGTTCCTTATTCCAAAACAGATGGTGTATTTGTATTCAAAATTTGTACCAAATTAATTGTTATGTTCATTGTCTGAAGTAAATAAATATATTTGAGAGCCCAGAAAATCTGGACATCCTGGCGCTCAGGATGTCCATCACAATCATCCGTTGAGTGGGTCCTAGGATATGGTCCACTCAACGGATGGCTGCGATAGACATCCTAAGTGCCAGGATGTCCTGATTTTCATATTTCTAAATATATTTTTCCACAAAAATTTTTTCCTTTTACTTTCCCCTCCAATTCTTTTAATAACCAAAAAAAGAAAATTTTCCCCCTCCCCTCAATGCAAACATATTGTAAGAGTTAATTAAAACAATATAATTTTGAGTTGTTTTCTTTCCTAATTTTTTAGAGATCCAACTAATAAATATTTTTCCCAAATCTTAATATATGAAAAAAGTTGACAAAAAAACACTTACTTGCTGAAGCTGCAGATTAAGAAACAATAACCACAGCCATTACATAAGCCAGAAAACTCAGATTTCATAAGTGAACAAACTCAAGAATGATTGACACATATTATAACTTGAACATGTGATCAAAATAAATATATCTGGATGGTGCTAACTTGTTGCAAGGAAAAAAAACAAGCACACACACATACTTATTAAGATAGACGAAATTTTAGTAATATAAAGCCAATCACTGGAAATTTCAGTTGTTCAAATAAACTCAAATGAAACTTTAGTCAATAATCACTATCTGTTCTTGTAAGGTTTGATTTCAATTCAGTTTATGTATCACTACAATAACATAGATCATAAGACCAATAACCCAATTGTATCAAAGTAAACTTATTTATTGGGTAAAAAATTGAACTGATAACCTGTTGTTCATTTGGTGAAGGTGAGCTTTTAAGTAACTATTCAACTCTAGAGTTTTAAAATGGTTTTCCAAATTTAAGAAACAATTAGTTACTTAAAAGGTTTGCAATTCCAAAATAAGCTACACCAAACACCCCATTGTTACAAGGTTTGCAAGCTCACATCTCATCTCAGTGTCTCTACTCACAGATTGATAATGAGAACATTTTGGCTGTACTTGCAAGCTTACATCTCAACATCTCAGCTTGGGGAGTGATAATGAGACAATTTGGTAAACCAAAATAAGTCCCTTGTCACTTATCCCGAATGGTTTCACCAATAACCCTACTAGGAGACAGCAAACAAACAAGGTTGTTGTTGATTAGGAGGTTGAAATATAGACTTACTCCATTTAAGTGCCTAGTATCCAGACGGATGCCATGTATTTTGTAAGCCTCCTCCTCCAATCTACTATAAATTATAAATAAGGGTGCATGGGTTTATCCTTATTTATATGAGAATGGGGAGGGAAGTTACAACCTAACCATGTCTATACATTGGTAAAGCTAATTTTCACACATCCCACTAATCACCACTTCTAACTAGAGCTAGTTAACTTAATTTGGTATCATTGACAAGGATTAAAAATTTAATCTTACAACACAAACCCACTGGATACACGAACCCTATTTAGTGTGTATTTAAAATAGAAATAGAAATTGATTTGAAAGAAGAATTGTTGCAGGTTGAACAAAAGCCTGATTCTCTTCCGCAGTTCAAACGGATAAGTGGCAGTATCAACCTCACATACCTTCAACCTTAAAATCAAAATCCATTTTAAATACATAGACAATTAAATGAAAACTGATTCATTTGCCAGGAAAAAAAGAGAAGGTTAAAAGCCAGTTAAAATTCTTAAAATCATTAATCGTGGTGCCCCAAGTAACCACATAATCAACAGTGAATACAATTTTCAACCTGCTTTTGACCTCTGTTTTTTTGGCCCATAAATCATTTCTCATTTTAAAACCAGATTTTTTTAATAGATAGGATTAAAAGTGTAGTAAATGTACTTTTTTCACCACTAATTAACACAGAAAATACAAATACTAATGGTAAAAAAGTCCTTTATTACACTTTTAACTTATGCTATTAAAACACAGATTAAAAAAACCTGTAACACAACCATTGGAAGGAAAGAAAAGTTTGTCTAACATGTGACATAAGAGCACAAGTTATAGGTGCATTAATTGTACTTTTTTTCATTAACTAGTATAAAAAAATACAAAAGCCAACTTCATGTTCATCACCAATACAAAACCATTGGTTAATAAAATTGAAGTCAACTATTACTTTTTTCCATAACATTTAATGAGAAAAAATACAATTAATGCACCCTTAACTTGTTCCCTTAGAGCATTAATTAGAAAAACACAAAAAAAAAAAAAAAAAACTATTGCATCAATATCATTAATATCTAAAAAGTTATGATTTAGCTAATAAGAAAATTTTTCCTACATTATTT